CTGGCGAATTGCCAAATCTCCTCGCGACTGAAATCGCGTGAAGTATGCCCTTATGCCCACTTTTTTCAATACAGAAATGTGATCTTGAAGAAGTTAAAGAAAATATGAAACACAGCAGACAGTTCGCTTAGAACTTTGATAAGTACAAGGGAAAATGTATCAAAAACTCACTTTGCAGTCGTAGTCTGATTTTAGGAGGTAAAGCTGCATCAAAAAATACTTTAGCTTTCTTCATCGTTAGTTCGAAGAGCGAAAAACCGTTCGACAAAACTGGACAGATTATTATCACCCCGCGCTATCGATTTTATTCAAATTTACGCATATTTTATTCGAACGCGCAAGAGATTTTATGCTTCAAAAACAACGGTTCCCCAAAACCTCTTAACAATACCCACTTCATAATTAGCCAAGTCAGATACGAATACGGTAATCATAATTACCGTAATCTCTCAACACTGAGCCATTACGCGTATTTTTTATTTTTTCAATGCAGTTTATATATATTAAGCATAGTATATACAAACAAACAATCATAAATACATGAACATAAATAAATCAATCAGCCGAGAACAACTAACAATAAAAATGAACCTATCGACACAAAAAAAAAACAAGTGATTGTACTAAAAACACTAGTACTAAACTCTCACCAAAGCGAGGAAATCTCTTGCCGTACAAGAGATGAGTAGTCAGAAATTATCACAGTCTCAAATTTCAGGAAAAAAATTTTTTACATGATTCACTAACGGCTAAAGTTTATAGATCCGGGAGCACAACTGATATTTGGTTCTCTAATTTGGTCCTGCACTCAACAACCTAGCAAAGCTTTTGGTAAGGGAGAAAAATTAGAGCAGGGGGGGGGGAATGGATGCATTATCGGCACGAGCATGCAAAAAATCATATTTAAGCTCAATTCTTTAATAAAAGCCCTTTTACAGCACCATCTCAGCGTAAAATACTAGGGCTAAAATACTTTCCCTTTCCTACTTTAATACCTGTACGAACATAATTGGCTCATTGGCAGCAAGGGGCGTGGCGCTCATTGGCCAATGCAAAAAATGGGCGGGGCAGTTGGTTCCAAAGAAACCCCTATCTCCATCCTAATTTCTATATAACCGAATCATCGCCAAGCGTAATTATCGTGACATTATTCGACGTTTGATGAACACGGTCAGACGGGGTTCTTCTTTGCTCCCTCCATTTGTCGACGTCCCTTCGGGTCAAAGTTCCATCATCGAACTCATCGTCATCACCTCGAACTACCGTAACCATTCTACCAGTATGTTCATCACGTATCGATGATGTTCGTGCACTTGATGTTGGTCTTCTTGGCTCGAAGCCATCACTAAATCGAAAATTGTAACTTTTTGAAGCCGGTATGATGGACTTTTTACCGTAGAGAGATCAAAAGCTACTGCCCAAGTGGGAGCTCACATGACTCATTCGTGGCTGAAAAATCCATCTTTCAACTCTGGCCCCAGTACCGTATTCTGAGTTGCTGGCAGGGGT